ATAATGGCACATACCCCCCTGAAAACATTCAGAGATTCCTCATTGCCTAAGGAGAGAAGTTCAAATCCCCAGGCCTGGTACTCAATGTTTGCTCATGGGCAGCTCTGTCCTAACTTTCTAGTGTCATCATTAAGAAGATTCCTCCATGGTCTTTCATTACCTGTTTTCATGCTTCCAAGCCTCTGCTCAGCTCTTCTTTCTGCCTGAAAGGCTCTCTGACTTCTCAGTGTTAAAATTCTACTTACCCTTCAAGGGCCCTGAGCCCCACAGAATTTTGCTGGTTCCCCTTTTATTGTTATTAACATTTCCTTCTATTGATTAATTGTGCCAGGCGGTTTGCATATATTATCTGCCCTGCCAATTTCTACACTGTCTTCCTTTTTACAGATGAGGAAACTGAGTTTCAGAGTGGCAACTTACCCAAGGTGACACCTAGGAAGCAACAGAGACAGGTTTCAAGCCACAATCAGCCTGGCTCCAAGCCCCAAGCTGATTCCTCTGTGGCACTTGCCTCTTGGCTGGTATAGAAAATGTTTGAAGCCAGGCAGAGCTGCATTCGAATCTCAACTCGGTATAAGCAACAACAAGCTCTATGCAACTCAAGCACTCTGAGAATGGGTTGAGAAAACTAAAAATAAGAATAATACTGTCTTATAGGCACTTACGAGGAATAAATGAGATGCTTTATGTAAAGCAATCAGCACAGTGCTATCATAAAGCCTGCTCCATTCTGTCTAGCAACAGAGGTAAGTGTACCCATGTCAATCTCTCCGTCTCCATAACCAACTCCTCTAGAGCAGGAATTGAATCTGGTTCATCCCAGCAGTGCCAGACACCTGCCACAGTGCCCAGCACGTGCAGGGTGCTCAATACATGTTTGCTGCAATGACTCAGCAGTCGGGCATAGCTCTTCACCCAGAGGCCTGGCAGGAGAGGATAAAAGGATACTTTGCTATCCCTTAGTGTGAGGCTGAGTGGTCACTCTTATGCCCAGGGCACAAGTTACAGACAGCATTGTTGACCAGACACACCAGGTTGGGCAAGGGCAGGGTCCACCCGCCCCCACTCTAGGATGGGAGGAGAGTAGACATTGGTGGGGAGACACAGGGTGACATCAAGTGGGCATCAAGTGACTCATAGACTTGACTCTTTCTGGATATGCTTTCATGAGAAAAAGAAAAAAAAAAAAAAGAACCTTTTCATTCTTCAAACATGACATCAGGAGTGGAAATTGGGTTATCTTATTGTGTCTTACTCTTAGGCCTTGTACCCATTCCTGCACTGTGCTTTGTGCTAATCCTGTCATTACACAAACACAGTGTCATGGAGAAAGCACTGAGGTCTAGATGAAGATGACTCAGTTTCCAAGGTGGTGGCTTTGCCACCTTCAGGAGGTCATTTATCCTCGGAGACTCAGTTTCCTCATCTGTGAAATGTGGATAGTGATGCCTGCCTCACCTTCTCTGCAGGACTCTTTTGAAGATCAAATGAAAGGAGAAAGCTCTTTGCACACCATAAAATACTGTACAAATATTATAATTCTTTCTATGCCAAGTATATGCTTTGACAAGAAAGACTTTGATCTCTCTCTCTGTCTCTCCCCACCACCCTAGCAATCACAAGATTTCTCTCTGTGCTGAGACTTTTCAGAGTGCTCACGTGTGTGTACCCCCTCTGTCTGGGTGGGGAGAGGGCTGGGAAGGTGCCATAGTGCCAGAAGCAAGGCATTTAACATGGCATCTGGAGGCTCTCAGTCCAAGATCCAAGTCCAACAGTTAAGTTCCCCTTAACCATTTGTGGGTCCTTAGGCCAAGACTTACCCTATTGGGGCTTCCATTTCCTCATCATGAAAGTGGGGTGATATTGCCTCTTTCACAGATTTGTGAGGAGGAAAAAGGGGTAGAATGTAGCAAGGGCACTTCAATAACACATTTAAATGTTAATCTGAAAACAGATTCTAAGAAATTTTAGTAAAGATTATTTCTTTTTTTCTTAAATGCCATAGCCTAGCCCCTATCATTTATTCAATAAACCTTCATGGAATTCCTACTGTGTGCTGGGCCCACCATTTATTCAATAAACATTCATGGAGCACCTACTTTGTACTGGGCACATTGTCAATCTCACTTTTCATGGATGTTGTAGTAAAAGAAAGTGGAGTGGATTATGGTTGTGGAGTGAAAGCTCTTTAATGCTGGGTGTAGTATTTAGGAGTTTAATATCACACTAGGTTGCTGGTTTTTAATTTAATCTTTTACAAACTACTGGAAACAGCCTATTTCTAAAAACGACCCAGCAGAAGGATGTGGGTTATTGAATGTGGGTTATCAAAATGAGAGAAATCTCCTCTACCCTTAGGAGTTTCCCTGGCAAAGCTCATCTACTAGCAGCATGATTGAGAAATAAAAGCTCAGAGCTGAAAAGGGATTACTAGAAAGGAAGGTGAAGGCTGGAATTGGGAGGATTTGGGATCTTCCCATATCCATTTGTTGTCTCCTCCAAGTGCTCCCAGAGTACTTCACATATGATAAACACTTGGTGGTTGTTAGTGAACTTATACCAGAAGGTGCTCGTTTAGAAGGGAGGGGGTCCCTGAGCTGCGTGCAATGACTAAACAAGCACTTGATCAGTGCCTTGCCTGTGCCAGCCCCACACAGAGTGTTTTCCTGCATTACCTCATTTAATTCTTCTGACACCATGAAGTATACATTCTATCATCACTATTTACATCTTGCGATAATATAAAACCTGAAAGAAATTAAGTAACTTGCCCAAAGTTATGCCCACACACTCCCAGAAAGCAGTTGTTCTATCTGACCCCAAAGCTGGGATTTTCCTAGTGCCCTGTGGTATATCTCTTGGGAAAAGTCTTTTCTCCTCCCTGAATCTATTTCTTCATCCCGAAGAGAAAGAAGTGAAGTGAGATTACTTCTAAGGTCCTTTCAGATTTATGGATTTCTACCTGCTAAGTGCTTTTATCCAGGGGTTGACAAATTGTGGCCCATGGGCCAGATCCAGACAACCAGTTGCTTTTACAAATAAAGTTTTATTGGAACATAGCCACACATGTTCGTCTATGTATTGTCTGTAACAGCAGCATTGAGTAGTTGTAACAGAGACTGTATGGCCCACAAATCCTAACATACTTACTATCTGGCCCTTTATAGAAAAAGTCTGCTGATTGCTGGAATATCCTAGTTTATAGACTTTAATGAAGAAAAACTATACTGATGAATAGTAAAAAAATCTGGAGGGCCGCATGTCAGCTGCCAATAGGGAAGTGACTTGCACTGTTTGGGTTTATACATTTTATACTTTGTTTACTTTTTAGCAGGTTATAACTTATATACAGCAACATGCACAAATCCTACATGGATAGCCTGATGATGTATCCACCACTCCAATCAAAATATAGACCCTTTCTAGCACCCCAGAATCCTCTATCATCATGGATTAGTTTTTCCACTTTTTAACTTTATATAAATGGAATCATAGTGTCTACCCTTTTGTGTCTGGGAAAAGCATGTATTTCTAAACTATAATTTCATTGCTGACAACTTGAAAAATCTGACAAGTGTAAATAAGGAAACAAAAGTGATCCTTAATAGTATTATCCAGAGGCCATCACTTGTTATTTACTCAACTAGTATTGTATTGAGGACCTACCACATAACACCACCTCTAAGCACTGAAGAGTAAGACAGGAGAGGGTCTCTCCCCTGCTGGGGCTTGCTGTCAGTGGTGTATTTCTTCCTGGCTAGTCAAAAGTTTCATTTCCACCACTCCACAGTGGTCTGGCCTAAGCTCTTGGACCCTAAGGTCTTGGACCCAAAGGCCTAAGCTCTTGGACCCAAAGGCCTGGAGTAGACAGCCTGGTAATTTAAGACCTTTTAGGAATTTCAAATCATAAGAAAAGTTGGAAAACTTAAGCAGTCTTCAAAACCTACTGGCCACTTTTCAAAAGTGGAATCAGAAGCCCAGAGAAGGTGCTCACCAAATTCTTTGGGGAGGTAAAAAGTCACCCCAAAAGGAGAATTGTAGCCAGAACTAGAACTTCGGGCTTCTGACTCCAAAGTCTAGAATGTTCTCTAGGCTGCAATGCTGCTCTCTAACATTAAGGCCCCCAACCTCCTTCACACCAGGATACGGCAGTATTTATATTTTACTCGGGATATGATTTCATTTTGAGGCCTTCTAGCCACTGAATCAACGGGAATGCATTGCAGAACGAGCAGCAGAGGATAGAAAAGACCAGGGTCTCCCTTCTGTAAACAAAGAAGGACAAGTATGGAAAGTAGGGGGAAGACTGTGTGCACAAGAGCAGAAAAATATCCTGTGCTACTGAGTCCACAGGAGCCACCACGTCTGCCAATCTGTGAAATTAACTACAAGGTGCTCAGAACACCTTCATAGAATACTGAGCCAACTGGATTTTAAATTATTTTATACCAGAGACTGCATCTCTCATTAAAAAAAACCACAAAAAACCCTGGGGGTTTGAACTGCAAATTCATTATTTGAGTAGACAAGACTAACATGGTCTCTTCAAATTCAGTAGCTCTTAAAAACAAGCTGGGAATATAATAGCACAAAGAGATCGGTTGCCCTACCTCTTAGCATGTTTTCATGACCTGCCTCTTCTTTCTAGATATGTAAGAGCCTACCATATTCCAGGAAACCGCAGTTGCTAACTCATTTAGTCTTCAGACTGTCATTATCATTTTGCACATAAGGAAATTGAGGATCAGAAAGACTGTATAACATGCTCAAGGTCGCACAGCTGGTTAAACAGATCTTAGTCTCAAATTTAGTTCTCCAAAGCCTGTCCTCTATTCCGTGCTGTGTATCCTCCACCTATCCCCCTTTCAACTTCTCATCTCCCAAAACAAGGAAAGTTAGAGGCCTTCCTGTTTCATCCTAAATCCCTGCTCAAAAATTCTGAGCCCCAATCTTAGCCCTCTCATTAACTTACTCCTTAGACTGTCATATGTCTCATTTTCCCATCTCTAAAATGGAATTTCTATTTCAGTCCATAACCACTTTATCCTACATGAAGCATAAACAAAAGTTATTTCAATCATACTCTGTCTTCCTCTATTTGAGGGAAGTTTAACTAAAGGTTTTTATGATATAGCTCATTTAGTTAGCATTTGTGATCCACATTCTGAAGGACTGTCTGCTGGTCTACTTATAGTTTTCTTTTTTCGATTTCCTTATGAAGGATAGATATTAAATGTGCATTCACCAATGTATAGTTGCAATTACTTGGTGAGCACCTATATTGCACCAAATGGCATATACAAGGTAGGGATCTGGGCAGGAGGATTATAGGATGTTGTTAGATATGAATAGCCAGATTACCAGGTAGATATACCTGGGCACTTATAAGTTTTCCCTGTACTCTATGCAAAACTTCCTGTATGTTCACACAGTTGGCTAGGGTTGGGGGAAGAATAGGTTTGCTGACACCTGAATTTTGAGAGAGAAAGACGTTTGGAAGTTAGGACACACAGCAGTTAGAACTACAAATCAAAGCTTTGTTGTTAAAAAGGAAGTGATTGCTGGTTTTAAATGGGTTTTCCCACCTTAGCACAGAAACTGATCTTCATTATACTTGATGCTTCTGTCATGATAGCAGGTGAGAGACAGTAAAAAAGATTGTTCTCTAGGGACATTTACTCTGAACACTTCATTATCCTGCTTGAGGCAAGCTGGGTAGGCAGAGAATGTTCTTCCATTGGGCAGAATTATGAGAAGCAACGATCTGCCATATGTCGCAATAAACTAAAAGACAAGACAGTGAAATGAAGGACTTTCAATTCCATAAAGCTCTTACCCCTTTGTCAGGGAAAGAGGGACTGAGATAGTTGTAAACCTTCCCTGGGGCTCCATGCACACAGCAGCCCTGCTTCTGACTGGCTCTCAGCACAGGTGGCCCAGGCACCTGTAGCAGACCCTGTATCTAAAAGAAGCATCCTAGCTCGTTAGCACCCTGGCCGGCATCAGTCACATCATCAGCTCTCAATACACCTAGGAGATGTGATCCTGTTCCTAGTGGATGGGAGTGGCTGAACCTCTCCTCCTCCATGCTATCCCTAACCTAACCCTAACTTCCTCCTAATTATCTTTTGAAAGTGGAAGAGTAGCAGAATGTGTTCAGAAGCTCCTTTGCAATTTTCCTGCTGATCCCAAATTCTTGTGCCTAATCTCCCAGTCCCTCCAACCCCAGCACTGCATTTCCCTGATTCTGAAAACCCTAAGCTTCCAGAGGGGCTAGATTTTTCTACTGGGGACTGGCTTCCTGCCTTCCCAGACTGGAAAGTGTGAACACTATTATGAGACCAAGAGGTTGCAAAGGTAGTCTCACTTAATGTGTACTACAACCACCCCCCTGCACTGTAGGTATCAGTAGTATCCTGTTTTACAGATGAGGAAACTGAGGCTCAGAGAGGGGAAGGGGTATCCTCTGCCCCAGAAGCTATGCGTTGGTGAGAAGTGGATCCGAAGAAGCCGGGGCTTCTGTGAGTCAGGTCCCAGCCTGTGGGTTTGGGTGTGACTGCTTCCTTTCTCTCGTGCCCTGGGGAGATGCGCCCAGGGGAGATGCGAGAGAAATTCCAACAGTGCTGAAAGGCCCATGGCTTCCTTCAGGGTCCAGGCCAGAGTGGAAAAAACCTTTTTTCCTCTCAGTGGCTTTGCCAGCACCTTCTCTACTTGGAGTGTGAGATTTCCACCACGGCTGCAATGACCGTATGCAGAGCCTGTCACCTGGCCCTGGGGACCACAGAAGTTCTGGAACTGCGAATAAACCAGAAATGAGTGAGCCCGGGGAACATGCAGCTGCAACTGTCCATCCAGCCACAGGCCACACTTTGCTTTCACTGTTAGCATGGAGGCCGGGCCGTTCAGGTTTCGCTCCTAACGCACAGGCGCTTTGATATTCCGGGTTTGAACAGGAGAGCGTGGCCCAGGAGTCCAGCTCCCCCACGGCTTGGCCAGGCTGGGCGCTGGTGCAGCCGGGCTGCCAGGGGAGCTCCACTTTGGCTACTCCCTCTAGCCATAAATCAATCGGTGCCTCCTTCCAAAGGTCCTCCCGGCCTCCTTCACCCCCGCCCACGCTCTCAGGGCCGGTAAATCCACACCGCCAGACCCGTCCCGTGAGGGCCTGAGACCTGGACAGTGGCAACCGTGGCAGAAATAAATGAGGTCTCTCTCATACACACTCACCCGCCTGACACCACCCCACTTTCCCCAGGTGTCAGCGCCCCTGCCCAAGTAGTCCCTTTCTCCTCCACACGGCTGGCTCTCCTGGCCCACCACCTGCCTGCAAGGGCTGGGACGCATCAGAGGGTCTACTCCTCACGTCCTTCTCCATCCCTTTCTTCCAAGAGCACCCAAACTTCCTGCAGCTTTTACCTGAACCCCGAAGCGTAGTGTCTTCTCTCTGGACTAAAGAGAAACTCGTAACCGGCGGAAAAGCCCCCGCGCCTAAGCTGCAAGCCATTTGCTTAACAAGTCCAAAGGTCAGCTAAAGTTTGGCTGATAAATAGAACCAGTAAAAGAAGGTCTTCAGCCCCCCAGCGCGAGTACAATGGACCCTGGCAAGGCCGGCTCCCGGGCTAGCCTCCTGCTCTTCTCGTCTGCCCCTCGGGCTCTCCCTCTCTCTCGGTTTTCCCCCCTCCCCACCATCATTTGCATTTTGCCGAAAGCTGGGCCCTTCCCACTAATTTGCATATCTTATATGGCCTAATGGTGGCGATCATGGCAAGTTAGAAGTTTTCTGACTCCTCTCGGAGGAGACTCCGGGACCCCGGGGAGTAACAGGTGTTTGGAGGCTGAAGGGTGGAGGGGTTCCTGGATTGGGGGTTGCTTGTGGAACTCCCCTCCACCCTCTCTCGCACCCACCCACCCCCCTCAGCCCCTTCTTTTTCCGTCCTTGGAAAATGGTGTCCAAGCTCACGTCGCTCCAGCAAGAACTCCTGAGCGCCCTGCTGAGCTCTGGGGTCGCCAAGGAGGTGCTGGTCCAGGCCTTGGAAGAGTTGCTGCCATCTCCGAACTTCGGGGTGAAGCTGGAGACGCTGCCCCTGTCCCCCGGGAGCGGGGCCGAGCCCGACACCAAGCCGGTCTTCCATACTCTCACCAACGGCCACGCCAAGGGCCGCTTGTCCGGGGACGAGGGCTCCGAAGACGGCGACGACTATGACACCCCTCCCATCCTCAAGGAGCTGCAGGCGCTCAACACCGAGGAGGCGGCGGAACAGCGGGCGGAGGTGGACCGGATGCTCAGGTAAGCGCAGAGCGAGGCGGAGAATACGTGCCGAAGCCCCTTGAGCCCCAGGTGCCCGCGTCTGAGTGACACTGCGCCCGGCCACTCTCGCCAAGCCTGTTTCCCACCAGAGAAGTCCCCTGGGGGGGCGCTCCGCTCCTCTCCCAACACCTGGACCCTTCCCGATCCCTCAGCCAGACGACCCTGGGGCGCCAGGGCTTCTCCCTGGGCCCAAATCACTGTTGGGGACCCAAGGGCCTTCCCGGCGGGGCTGGGACTTGGCCGGGTGGACTGGAGCTGCGGAGCCCTTTGCCCGGAGGTTTGCCCACGCGACTGAAGGCGCGAGTGGGTGCGGGAAAACGGCTGCAGCTTTCCGGGAGCAGAGGGTCGCGGTCCCGAAAGCCCCAGGCCAAAAATTTCTCCTCCGCTCTGCCTCGGGTTGGGGAAGACGCAGGTCGGCCTCGGGCACAGCGACCTGCGGTTCTTTGCCGAGGGACAGGCGACACCGGGGGCCAGGATGTGGGAGGCAAGTTCTTTGGTGGGCTTTTCATTAGCTGAGCCCATAAAAGGCCCGGGATTGTCTGGAACCCTCAAAGCAGGTTTAGATTTGCAAAGCGGGATGTTTGCATGTAGGGCCCGGGTGGACCCGCGCGGGGCAAAAGAAACCTCGAGTCTAAGCACGCGGGGGTGTTGTGGGGCAAGTGCAGCTAACACCTCAGTTCGCAGAGGTTTTGGTCTCACTCTGAGAAAGGAGGGCGTTTCTGGATCTCGCTGCCCACACCCGGCCTCCCCCAGGGACTTCAGGCGGGCTGGCCGTCTACCTCGGGGCCGGGGTCGTTTGTCCTCCCGGACCGGCCTTAGGCTTTGACAGCTGGTTACTAATTATCCAAGGAGCGGAGCAGAGCGGTTCCCTTAGACCTCACTGCGCTCCTGGCCACTAGGCTTTAGGAAGGGGCCCCTCGAGTGGCCTCCGACATGAGCGCCGCGGTCTCAAGGCTTTAAGGGCCAGAACTGAGCCTCGGCCCCGCGAGCCTGCAACGGCAGTTTAGGGTGGGATATGACCTTGCATTTGATTTTGGGCTCTGGGGACTTGAAGGTTTGCCCCGTAGCCAAGACAATCAGGGGGATCTCAAGATTCTTTTCCCAAAAAAGTATTTTGCTATAATTCATAGGTTTGAGGATCTTTCCTAGCCATTTCTCTGCGTGGAGGGGATTTTTTCCCGGTTGGGGTTAGGACTCTGGAAGGTGTGAATCGCGGGGGGCTAAGAGGGGCCGAGAGAGGCTCCCCTCGGAGCAGCTAAGGAGCCAGGGAGGCCGGGAGGTTGCACTGGGCCTGGAGGACTAAGCCGGCTCCCGCCGCCGGCCACCCAGGGCCAGCAGGGCCTAGGCCCTTCCTCCTGGCTGCAGGCTCCCGCTTTCCAGCGCGGCGCTGGAAGGACCTGGGAATCCCGAAGAGACCTGGGGCGCCCCTCCGCACCCGGCCGCACGCAGCAGAGATGTAACATAAACTGCAGCACGTGGAGTTGGGGTGTTATTAATTTATTTCTATAAATCATCAACAGAAAGATACACAAAGAGCCGTGATTAGGTTGAAAAGAGAGGCGGGTTATTCATTGGTGAAGTTGTAAACGCGGCTTAGAGGGGGAAGGAAATAAAAACGCAGACGCCGGGCTGCTGGCGGCTCCCAGCGCACACGCACCGCGCTGCGGGGCGCGCCCAGCCAGGACCTCCGCGCCGCCCCGGGGCCTCTCTGCCCCGGCGCCCGACCCAGGCTGCCCGAGAGCTGGAGCCGCCCGCGGAGCTCCAGGGTCGCCGAGACCCGCAGGCCCGGCGGGTGGAGAGCCAGGCCCAGCCCGGGGCCTCGAACCTCAGCCTTCTTCCTCCCCACGTCCCCGGGCTCCAGCGGGGCGGGGAAGGGGGACGAGGGGCCCGGAGACCCTCGCTGCATTAGGGACAGACTTCGAGGCTTTTCTTCCTTTCCCAAACGAGTGCTGCCTTACCTCCCCCAGCCCTGGGAGTGTCAGACTTTATTAAAGTAATTTTTCAAGAAATTGCTAGCGGTTCCCAGGTCACTGCACAGTGGTCTCCCGAGCCCCAGGCATATGTACTCCCTTTCTTTGCCCACCCTATTTCCCTAAGGTGGAAAGAAAAGAAAAAGAAAAGGCACTTTTTGGAGCTCGGGGACGCCCTTGATACCTCCTAGAAGAGAAAGGCAAGAAAGGCAGGTCGGGGACTGCGCGCTTCCCGAGTCCCCGGCTCGGGGCTCTAGGCTGGCGCGGTGGGAGGCGTTTGGCAAACTGGCTGCTTGAGGCTTCTTACCCAGATCGCCGCGGCCTATGCCGGGGTCCCGGGCGTCCCTGCTGGTGGGCAGCAAAGCCATTGATCCAGAGGGAGCGTGCCGGGCGGTCGGGCGTTTGACACCTGTGCTCTGAACACAATGGCCGCGCGCTTCTCGGGATCCTTGTATTTATCCGGGTTAGGAACCCTGAACGTGAGCTGTATTTTCAAATAAAAAAACTAACCAGCTCTCCGGGCTCTTCCTGGTGAATACGCGTGAATTTGGGGGTCGGAGAGCTGTAAACGTATAACAGCGCCATTTTACGCCCAACTCTAGTCTTTTAATTCGGGCTTAAATGTTTTGCCATAAATTATAAGGTTTTCGTGGCCTTTTTTTTTTTTTAACCTTCCCAATAGTTGAGCTAATTCGCTCTTTCCACAGAACCACTCGCACGTAGAGCATTACACTATTTCGCTGGGTTTCTTAGGCACACAAAATGAACACAGGTTAAGAAATTTAAACACGAGAAAAATAGCCAAAGAATCTGTTAAAGCAATATTAACTTTTAAAATGCAAATACTTTTTTTGTCTAACTTTTGAAGCTATTGTACGTATCTGTTGAAAGTGGTTTTCCACCCTAACAATATTTGTGGAAGTATTCGCCAGAAATGAACTTTTAAATGATTTCTGATGTTTACATGGGTATGTCTTAAATGTTTATTGCATTATTTTTCTCTTACTCAATGTGAATTCTCCACGTTTGAGACTGTAACGAATTTTCTTTTTGCTTTTGTTGCTTCCTTATATTGTATTACTTGGAAATATAAATACTTAAGACATTCATTGACTAATATATAATTAATCTGAAAAGTTTGCATTTCTCAAAAATTTTTCTCGAAGCCTGTGTTCTCACAAATTTAATATAAAAGGCTTGCTAAAATAATCACAACTATCCAAATACTTACAAAATATCTGTTTGATTACTGGATTTTTATTCATTAAACAAAATAGTTTTATTTTATATGTTGTAGGCACCATTTAGAAATAAATTGATTATTATATCACCACACTCTTATCTATTTGGCCTCTGCTTTACACTATTTTTTTGTTTCATCTGAAACTACTTTTCCCTTTATTTTTTTCATGTTCTGCCACGCTAATACATATATATCAACATACGGTAAAGGGATCCTGTTTTTTAAATTAAATATGTAGCTGCATTAAATAAGTAGCATATGTAGATATATTGCTTCTGTAATACTTTTGTTCTGTACTGTGCATTATTTTCCTAATTTCTTGTTTTAGATAAGATCCCTCAATAAGCAAGACAAGATATTGGCAAAATTGAAAACATTTTAGACAAAATTCAAAGGCACAAATACTAGTTCCTTGCACACCTGTGTTTATGAGAAATGAAAAGTATAACCATGTTCCTATCCAAAGCTTGACATTTATGAGAAACACAAGAATATGGGCATTTGGGATTTGGGAGGAACATAAGAATACAGGCATTTGGCATAAGAACAAGGCATTCTGGATTGTTAATGTCCAAAACTGAAATTATTTGTCCTCATTATGTTTTGTTTGGGAGGCGGGGCTGTGGATAATTTCTTTCTTTTTTTTTTTTTTAAATTTTACTTGCCTCACTTCAATGATATGATTTTTTAGTCCCAGGGAGGAATGTCATAATATTTTGGACAACTTTTCTAAAACTCTGAAAACTATTTACTGTTTAGCTAGGAAGTCCTCCTTGCTTCTCAGGTGGTGGACACATAGGTTTCACACCTATTTTAGAAGAAACTGAGACACCCATGCAGAAGGAAAATAATGTAGGAGGGCTTGAGGCTAAAATGAGGCAAATTTAGAAACTGATTCTACTACTCCTATATTTGTAGGATCAGCCAGGCCAGCCCCAAGCTAATGGCATCTCCACTTTCCAGTGGGCCTCTTGCCTTTTAAGTCTCTCACCTTACAGAAAAATGAAGGAAAGCAAAAGAAAACAAGAGCTTTCTTTCTGCTTAATGAGAGAGAGTGGTGACAGTGCTTTCCCATTCCTGAAGATGGGAAGTCTTTTTTTCTCTGCTAATCTCAGAAGGAAAGAATAGACTATACCGTACAAGGTGCTTAATTTACCAGAATTGGTAGAGTTTGGGAACCTCAGCTGGTGACCCTGTCTAACGAATACTGTTCAAGGGCCTTCACCTCATCTTCTATTTAGGTTCCATTTTGGCCTCACACATCTCCCCAGGTTGTAGCTTGGACAGGTAGAGAAATCCAAGTTTTGCAGAAAGGGTAGGAAAAAGCCCTAGATAGAGAATATTTCTCCTCAGACATCTCCCACTAGCAACCCTAACTATCTGCTTATCTGTCTAGTGAGGACCCTTGGAGGGCTGCCAAAATGATCAAGGGCTACATGCAGCAACACAATATCCCTCAGAGGGAGGTGGTCGATGTCACCGGCCTGAACCAGTCACACCTCTCCCAGCATCTCAACAAGGGCACCCCAATGAAGACCCAGAAGCGTGCTGCCCTGTACACCTGGTATGTCAGAAAGCAACGGGAGATCCTCCGACGTAAGTGTTTTAATCCTGTCTCTGCCTCAACCTGCAGTAACCTTTGCTCTAACTCTGACCCCTGTGGGCTGCCTCAGTTTCCCCTTCATCAAGAAGAACTTTGTGAGCTCTTGGCAAATAGAAGGAAGCTGGCCGGTGGATTTGGCCTTCATGGCTGTGGCACAATGGATTGGCTGATAGCATTTTCTTCTCCCACAGTGCCTTGCTACCCAGCCCATTGCTTTGACAAGCCCTTCAGTGTATGTGATGTACCTTGAACTTTCAGGCCCCTCCTTCCAACATCTTCCTCTTTGAAACCAAGTAGGGAACAGAATGGAAATATCTTCCCCAAAGTAAGCCCAGCCTCTCCCCTTGCTACATGACCACCGTCAGAGTTTCCAACAAAGGCATTTCATTGCAGTCAATAATATTGCTCACTATTACTGTTATTTTCCTCCTCTCTGGAAAAAGTTTAAAAAAACAGAGGGTGTTTGTATAAATATATTCAGAACCTGACCTTGTTTTTCTTGGGGGGGGGGCTGAGTCCTGAAGCAATTTAAGGTGCTTATTCATGTTTACCAAAATTGGTAGAGTTTGGGGACCTCAGCTGGTGACCCTGTCTAATGAAGAAGCTACTTCCAGCTAAGGCAGGGCACAGTGAAAGTGAACTCTGACCCATCGATCCCTATCATTCTGATTCCCGTGCTAAAATTTTCTTTCTGTCCCATGATTTCTTCCCCCCTCCCATAATACTGAGAGATTTTTGTTTTGAAGTCTAGGAAAGTTTGAACTGCATTTGAGTAATAAGAGGATGAATGATAATAGTGTTTTTATTTTAAGAAAGTATACTTTGACATTTCACTTTCATTATTTTGATCTGGCCCTTTTCCCAGGAGAATTTTGTATCAGTTTTCACTCTCCCCACAACTATTCTCTGGGCCAAGGCTTCTCTGTCTTTGTCAAGGTGGTAGTTTCCACCACTTTCTCTTGGGGGTTGGGCTTTTCCTCTCTCAATGAAGGGTAACTTTTAAAAAAATCACTCTTGTTTACTATTACATACTGCTCTGCAGCGATTGCAGCATTTATTGTCGCAGTGTCTGTGGGCTGGTGGAAGGAGAGGTTTTAGGCATTCATCTTATATTGTGGTTGTTTGTGCTTTTGTTGGAAGAATTAAATGGGTAGATTAGAAGAAGCAAAGTGAGAACTGTTTGCTTCTGGGGGTTTGGGGGTGCTTTTAAAGTATGGATTGGCCCACCATCCATGGTGATTAGCTTTTGGAGAATTTGTGTGCCTAACATGAAGCAACTCTCTGTTGTTCCTGGAAATTCCAAAAACATTCTCAGGAGCCACAATCTCCAAAGGCCCAAGAACCCTTGGGACCTGCCCAATCCAAGCCTTATGTAGCATCTCCAATGTGAGCTGCCTCACTGTGTTCAATGAGAGTTCCCTGGGAAAGGAGAGGGAGACAGGAAAGGTGGACTGGAACCTTCTAACGAGAAATGTCATAAAGTTTCTCAAGATACTTGAGGAGGGACATTTTACAAAAATGTATGGCAGTCTCTGCAAGGGATTTTTTGTTGTCATTGTTATTGTTATTGTTTTAAAGTCACATGAGACATAAAGCTTAAGAAACATTCCTTCATTCTGTAACTATTAGACAAGCACCTATTACATGCCAAACACTATGCTAGGCTGTGGAATACACAAGTCCATTTTCTAGGGACTTACATTCCAGTGAGGGAGTTGAGTTGTTTGAATAAATTATGACAGCAGCTTTCTAAGAGCTATTATAAAGGTATACACAAGGGGCAGCAGAGGAATTGCTAAATTGCCTGGAGTCATCATGGAGGGCTTCCTAGAAGAGGTGATGTTTGAGTCAAGTCTTAAAGGATGGTATATAAGACACACAAGCATGGGATAAAAATTAAGAAATGAGATGAATAGGCCGGGCGCTGTGGCTCACGCCTGTAATCCTAGCACTCTGGGAGGCCGAGGCGGGCGGATTGCTCGAGGTCAGGAGTTCAAAACCAGCCTGAGCAAGAGTGAGACCCCGTCTCTACTATAAATAGAAAGAAATTAATTGGCCAACTAATACATATATAGAAAAAATTAGCCGGGCATGGTGGCGCATGCCTGTAGTCCCAGCTACTTGGGAGGCTGAGGCAAGAGGATTGCTTGAGCCCAGGAGTTTGAGGTTGCTGTGAGCTAGGCTGACGCCACGGCACTCACTCTAGCCTGGACAACAAAGTGAGACTCTGTCTCAAAAAAAAAAAAAAGAAATGAGATGAATAAAAGAGGGACACAAGTGAACAGGGTCCCTCATGCGGGCCATGCAGGGCCTGCAGAGAAGAGAATGGACACTGAAGCAGGTAACTTCCTCCTCCCCCTTTGTTTCTCCCTCAAGTAACTGTGCTCGGCAGCTGCTGTGACAATCAAACAATATGAGAGGCATGAAAACACACTGAAAAGTATAACTCCAGAGGGATTTGGGTCAACATCATCACTGTCCTGACTAGGGGTAGATGCTCTAAAGGACAATTTCGTGCTCCTTCAGCTTTCAGCCAGTCCCACTGCACAGTGGGGAAGCTGAGTGACCGGAACTGAGCAATGTGGCTGGGGCCCCATGTTGTCCCATGGAAGCAGTGACTTCCTGCCAGTAAGTTTGGCAGAGACTCTCTCGGGTCTCTCAAGGCGTTGTTGGGCGCCCATGAGAACAGAGCCCTCAGGTGGCCTGAGACTCATCCAAAGTGGGTGGGGCCCAAATCAAAGGCCCCAGTGACAAGTTCAGTCCATCTATGGAGGAGACTACATGTTAACCTGGCCAATCAGCAACTGGTTAAACAAAGCCCAACACCACCTGCAGCAGGGATCCAAAGTCCAGGCTGGCTAGGGGCTTTAACCATTCCTCATGTTGGACCACAATGGAAATAGAGCCTTGGATAGGTAGTAAGTTCCCAGCTGCTGGGGGTGTATAGATTGGAGGACCCCTCAGTAGGGTGCTGCAGAATGAATTCCAACCTTAAATAGGGCCTGACTTTCGAACCTTGAGTATTTTGGATCCAGTTGTCCAAAGGAGCAGGAAGGATAGCATGTACAAATTATGGCACGTCCAGACTCTTCCTCGGGGCTCACTGCAACTGGAGGTTGCAGACTTCAACTCCCTGACACCTGTGGTAGTGACTCCAGGAACTAAGAAATGAAAACATCAAGGCCCAGAATGTGTGGACCAGGAGCTAGGAAATGGATTTGTTGTGTGTCCTTGCTTAGCACAGTGCTTGGCTTCTATGTTTATTCATCTGTAAAATGGAATGAATCACCCCTGATGAACACTTCATGCACATATAAGGAAGAGGATAACAAAACTTTCTTCTTCAATTAAGTAAACATCAAATCTCATTTAAACCACATAGGCTAAGGTATTACCACGGGACCAAGCTGCTGTCTTTCTTTCATTCATTCAACAAAAATGTGTTGAGGGTCGCAGTGGGCCCTGGGAATTGGACAGACAGGGAGGATCATTCCGTCTACATTCTATCTATTCATGAAATGCCATTCCTGGAAAAGTCATGTGTTTACAGTCTTATCTAGTTGCTATCTTTCAGATGTGTGGGCAAATCTGTAAGACTTTTCCCCCTTGAACTGTCTCCCTCATAAACTGACCCCTGGACACACACACACATATACACACACGCACACACACACTTCATTGCTTTTGAAATTATTTAGGAGCTAAAGAGCATATTCTCTTTCTAATATAAATTTCTAGTTATATTAATTTCAAAGCATTATTCAAAAAATTGTGGTTGTGGGTTTTCCTAAAGGACAGGTGGGGAGAGCTATTCACAGTCTCTGAATATTTTGTCTAAGTGGAAATTATATCTTTGAGCAATTTCCCCCTAGATCTGGGACCTGGTTGAGCTCATACACTTGACATCAAAATACAAGAGTTCAGGTTTCAGAGTGTTGCTTCATGTCTGAAAGCCAGGGAGCAAAAAAAAAAAAAAAATTAATTTTCTTAGAACAATGGTTGGCTACATTTGAGCTCCTTCAAGGAAAGGAGAAGGGTGGCTTTGCTGGAACAACTGGCATAGGCAGTAAGGGCCTGTGGTGAGGCCTCCCCTCTGTGGCCCCCACATGCGATAAGAGCAGATTGCAAACCTTAGGGGAGAGGGAAAAAGGTGTCCTTGTCCATTGTCTGTCTGTCTGTCTGTCTGTCTGTCTGCTGAGTGAAGGCTACAGACCCTATCAAATCTACTCCTTTCTCTTTTCAGAATTCAACCAGACAGTCCAGAGTTCTGGAAATATGACAGACAAAAGCAGTCAGGATCAGCTGCTGTTTCTCTTTCCAGAGTTCAGTCAACAGAGCCAGGGGCCTGGGCAGTCCGATGATGCCTGCTCTGAGCCCACCAACAAGAAGATGCGCCGCAACCGGTTCAAATGGGGTCCCGCATCCCAGCAAATCTTGTACCAGGCCTACGACCGGCAAAAGAACCCCAGCAAGGAAGAGAGAGAGGCCTTAGTGGAAGAATGCAACAGGTAACACCACCAGAAGCTCAGTTGAGCAGGCAGGCAAGAACATGGACCCAAGATCTAGCCCCTCAGTCCTGGGATATTGAGGCACTGATTATCCAGATAAGTGTGGCTAACCATCAAGGTTTCCCAAAATGTGTTCCACAGAAGCCCAGTTTCAGTTCACTAATATATAAGTTAGAGAACCATCAGATGGATACTTCCTCTTAGAGAGCCACAACATATATCAATATATTAAAGGCTCTGAGAAGTTCTGCAGTCTAGAAACACACTTAGCTTTATTGAATCGGTTGTTAACCATGGAATCTTCCTTCTGTGAATACTGACGGTCCCATGTATTGCTAATCTAGGGAAGACATTCTTAGGAATGTTGGTGTAAAATATGATGCAAATGAAGTGAAAATTATGTGTTTGACCTACATACAGGCCAGGGCAAAACTATCCCTTAGCCGCATGCTCTAGCTCTGGCTTCTACCTATTGTCTTATACCAGGAAACTTGGCCAGAAAATAAGAATTAGATCTGTTGAGTCCACTCTGCCCACACTGACCCAACAGAGTTCTTTTTGTATCATAACTACATGTAATTTTAAAAAGACTATTAGAAATCCTTGGACTATCTTTTTATTTCATGCCCTATCCTCTTAGACTACAATATTGACTTTCTAAAAATTTGGCTTTTTGCTCTGGCCAAGGCCTGTGGGCTCTCCCCCTGTCTCTGGGCTGTTTGGCAATGGAAGGCTGCAGCCAGGGAGGTCAGGCTGGGAAGCAGGGAGGCACAACACTCGGCCTGTGTGTGCCGCAGAGTCCTAGGCCTGTGCTCTGTCTTCCTGCTACTGAAAAGCCCCACAGCACCCAGTGGTGTCTGAGAACATCTCACACCTGGGCTTGGGGTTTCACCAGCTCTGATAAAACTAGAGACCAGCCATCTCTGGGTGCCTTCCTTTGTACTCCACCAGCCTGCCCTTTAGAGGGGGTTCCTGAGGTACAGACAAGGAATCCGGCTTCCTGGCACCCTTTTGGGGAGTCCAAATCCCACATGACCAGAAGTCTATCACAGTGCTTAAAGGGACTCAGACAGAGCCAGAAAAGGACTTTGCCTTTTGTGTGGTGGGAGGAATGCCTAAATAAGGAGGTATCAGGAGGCCCCTTCTGGATGTTCCCCCTGAACTGCCTGTCCAGCCACACCAGAGGCCCAAGCCCCTGATTTCCAGGGCAGCGTAGCTTGCTCTGTCCCTGTGTCCAGGCCTGCTCCAGTCATCATCAGACAACTCCATGGGTTGACCTTTTCTTGGGACAGGCTTCTCCCTAGCCTCCCACTCCACCCTCAGCCTCCTCATACTCCTAACCAAGACCCCGCCACCCTCACTCACCATCTCCCCTCCATCCATCCCCAGGGCAGAATGTTTGCAGAGAGGCGTGTCCCCCTCCAAAGCCCATGGCCTGGGCTCCAACTTGGTCACTGAGGTCCGTGTCTACAACTGGTTTGCAAACCGCAGGAAGGAGGAGGCGTTCCGGCAGAAGCTGGCCATGGATGCCTACAGCTCCAACCAGACGCACAGCCTGAACCCCCTGCTCCCCCACGGCTCCCCCCACCACCAGCCCAGCACCTCTCCTCCAAACAAGCTGTCAGGTAAGCAGGGGCCTGGCCTCACCGCTCAGCAACCCAACCATCCTGGTTCTCTCCAGGGTCTCATCTGGGTCAAGAGTTTTCAGAGGAGCAAATGGCTTGGAAGGGTCCTAGGGCTGCTCTCCTCTCATTGCCAGAATGATCTCGTGAAAATAGCTTGTGGTTCTGGTCAGGTTTCCTCCAGCTCCTTGCTCAGCCATCACTGTGTAAGGAATAGCTGGGCCTCCAGGGAGCCCTCCATCTTGTTCTTCTCCGTCCGTCTTCTCCCTGTGTGGCTGCTGACTCAGCAGGTCAGTGCAGCCTTCAGATCATGCGCTGGGAAGGCTGCCTTACTGGCGTGCCAGGTCCAAACTGCAGGCAGAGGGGTTGTGATTGTGCACCATCCATCACTGTAATGGAGAATGGCCCTCTGACCACCCTCCTCCAGCCCTGGCCACATCATACCCCAGCACTCTGTCCAGTTCCAGCAGGAGAAGCCCAGTGGCCTTTAGGGAAGGGCCAACTCTATTGGCAGCCTATGCTTGTTGGCTTCTGTGCTCCATCAGGGTTAGGGTGGGGTCACTTGAAATCTGTGTATTGACGAGTTGGCCAAAATCGATTGAGTACCTACTTGATCATGCCTGATTGAGTGCTACTGTGTGCCAGGCCCTGGCCCAGATTAGAATCACTCTGCTGTGGGGTTTGGGCTCGTTGGGGTGGAATCCTACATCCTTGTTGGGGGAAAGTACCCCTCTATGCTGAGCACTGTGGCAGGCACAGGCTGGGATTGAGCACCTCCTCTGGGTTTTAGTTCTTCCTGGAAAACTGGCCTCCCAAAATTGGCCTGCTTATTGGAGTGTGGTGTCCATGTGGACAAAGTGTGGCACAGTCTTTCTGCCTGCTCTGCAGAAGGGCTTGCAAAAGGAAAGCCAAGCACCGTTTTGAACTCAGGAGTGATTCTGAGACCTATTCCTCGAATGGCAGGCTGGTTGCCCTTCAAATAGGAAAGGCCCAAGAGCTGGGAGCTGATCCAAGTGTTGGGGGTGGGTAATCAAAACCACCAGGACAGGCTGAGAGCCACCAGCTGGGCAGTACATAAGATTTGCCCCACCATGCCCTCCCATAGCATGTCCTCTCCAAGAGTCCCTGGGAGCCTGACGGTGCCCAGCACGAAGGCTGGGCCAGGGCTGGGAGTCCTCTAGGTCCTGTTCCCACAGAAGAGAAGGGCTCAGCCACACTGGGAGAAAATCTGGACTACTCTTGAGAGGCAGAGAAACCCCCAGACAAATTCTGGCCTGAGTGCAGAGTAACTTTGCCCCTGTACGGAAATTCAAAGCAGGGTTGAGAGGGCAGCGGTGAGTGGCATGTGGCTGGCACTGAGTGAGAGCAGAGCACTTGCCCGCCACAGTGATCCACGGAGCTGGATCTGAGAGCTGCAGGGGGCGTGGCTGGGGCAAGGGGCATTATTGAGAAGACAATGGCCATTGTGCTGGGACCTGTGATCTCCACACCAAAGTCAGGGAGCCCACAAGCCAAATAAAGGCCCAGCAGCTTTCTGACAAGCTAGGGTTGTGCCGAGGTCACCACGGGGTCATTAGCTTAGGCATTTTGTATTCTGACAGGAGACAGAGAGAGCTAGGGCTGGTGGGTCGGGGAGCAGGTACTGGAACCTGGGCACAGTGAACAGGAAATGCAGCCTGGGGACCCCTCGGAGCGGAGCCTAAGAAAGGCATGACCCACTGGAAGTGCTTCTCTGGAGTGCACAAGAAGTCCGGACATTTTTAAAAATCATTGAAATGTTAGAATTCAGAGTAACCTGGACAAAAGAAACAGGCTCAGAAAGAGGTAGCAATTTGCCAAGTTACACAGAGTGACAGTAGCAAAACAAGGGCTAGAACTCAGGTCTGCTGATTCCTAATCCATACTTTCCCACGCACAAATGTGCCTTGAGTGCTTACCCAGTCCTGGCCGCAGGCTAGTGGTGAATGAGACATAAGTCCCTGCCCTCTTGAACCTTGTTGTCTAGTAGGGGATCAATGTTGTCTTGGGGGCTTTGTGGGTCTCTCTAGGGAGGGAGAGATCCTACTGCTATTTCTGGAGCAGCAGTTATGGGACACTCTGTATAAACTCAATGGCTGCTTTCCCCTCTGCCTTAGTTTTCACTCGGGGCTCTTCAAGTTGGTCCTTGTCCCACAGATTGGCTTCTGTGGGTATAGTTTTGAATCTTGGTTCTAACCAGCCTGGCTATAACTGGGCTAATTCATATAACTTTGCTGAGTCTGAGTTTCCCGTCTATAAAATGGAGAAATAAGTGCCTACCTCATAGGGTACATGGGAGGATTAAATGGGTGGATGTGTAAACACCCCCTTGCCCAATAACCCATACTACCATCACCATTATTGCTCTGTTATTAGAGAGGGCTAAACAAGTGGCAGTGGAAAGAATGGCAGGCAGCAGAAGTCCATTTTTTTTTTAATTTCATACACTGGTGCATTCATTATTCCTAAGAGGCAGCAAGATGTATCCCAGCCCTGGGGCCAAAAGCAGAGGCTGCCACTGTGCTGGTGTCCAGGGTGGAAGATGCTGGGCCTGGAGCCCTGTGTCCGTGTCTCAGGCTGCCAGGATGGTGCATGCACCGTGACAGGGCTCCTAGGTAATGCACCTGGGCAGACAGCAGGTGAAGTCTAGCCTGTCTGTAGAGCTGCACAGTGCACTTCCCATCACAGCGTCAGCAGCTGCGATGTGGTCTCTAACCAAACCCAAAATGTCATTGAATGCAGAATAGAAAATGAGCTCTGCGTGTTGCCGAGAAGAAACCAACATCTAGAGTCAGTACTGGCAACCTCTAAAGCTGAGCAGGGGGCAGTGAGGTCTCAGTCTGCCATCCCCACTCCCTACCCTCTCCTCCCCAAACTCCAGCACCTGAGCCAGAAAGGCTGGCAGCACTTGCCAATGAATCTCCCCCTAGAACCCTCTTTCTAGAGAGGCAGAGCCCCCTTTCTCTAATCAAGCCCCTTCCCTCCTCCCAGCCATGCTCACCACACTGTGGCCCACTTGCCCATGATGACCACAGTGTGACCCTGGTCCTGGAATGTCCGGCACAATAGAGGTGGCAGGAGGAGCACTTTGCCTCTGTCAGCGGCTGATTGGTTACAAGGTGCCCTACAAACACACTGTCAGCAGAATCAGCTGTTTTCGGCGTTGCCCCTCCTCGGCTTTACAATCACGTACCAGCATGCAGCCAGGGGTTGTCATGGCTTTGTCCCCCTTATGCATGCTTAATTGACAATTAAGTTGGGGCTTTGAACCAGCCTGGCTGCGCTGATGGGCCTTCATCTTTGCAGTGAGTGTCACAGGGGCACCCTTTGTTTGCTCTTCTCGGGGGCCTGAAGTTACTGTAGCAGGCTGTGGGCAGCCATTTATCTTCAGCCTGGAAGGCCTTTATCTGCCCTCACCCCCCATTCCAGCTCCGGCCAGCAGGAGCTGTCCCTGGTTATAGGCCCCATGACAGCCCATTCTGAGGCCATTGAGCAGGCCCGGAGTGATGGCCTCTACCTCCATTCTAGAGATGAATCAAGAGAAAGGCCCCCAAAAGGTCAGAGGGCAGGGCTGCAGCAAGGAAAAGCACTGGTTGGAGACTGGTGCTTGTATTGATTGGCTCGAGGAGGAGGAGGAAGTGGCGTGGGATGGAAACTAGGCTAGCCTTGGCCCAAGCATGGTATCTGCTGCGTGATCTGTGGTGGCCTTGTTCCCTGTACCCTTTGCTCCAGTCTGCAGCAAACTCACCTGGCCACTGCCTTGAGGAGGTAGAAGGAGGGGCAAAAGGTCTTCATTAGTCCTCACTCTCCCACACATTATGTCCTCACTTTTGTATCATCTTTCAAGCAGGAAGTGGGGACTCACTTCTGGAAAGAAAGTGAGGCACAGAGAAAAGAAAAGGCCTCCCCAGGACAATTTCCAGGGATCCAGAACACGCCCTCTTTACCTAAGAGGAGACGTTTATTTCTGCAGCTGCTACTCTTCCTTTCCTTTGAACTCTGTTCCTCACTGTCCAAGCCCAGTGGACTTGACTTCCCTGATGAGGGTCAGAGCTTGAAAAACAGAGAATCCTGCCTCCTGCCTCTCCTACATCCCCTTCACACCTCCTCCCAAGTTGTCTGCATGAATGTACCCTGGGTCTTAGACAAGCCGAACTCCTGGCCTGGGTACCTGTGTGAATGCTGTCGTTTTCCCTGACACTGACATCTGCAGGACCCAAGGAAATCTCAAACATTTCCTGTGGCAAGGTTGTGACTACAAATGCGTAATTGTCACAGGTAGTGTTGATCCAGCACTCCTGGGTACCAGGCCCTCGGATGAGCACCTGCACGCATCATCTTGTTTAACCTCTGCAACAACCTAGCAGGGTAGAAACCATCTGTAGTGTTACCCTCCATTTTACAATCAAGGAAAGTGAGATATTTAGAATGTAAGTAATTTGCCCAAGTCATATAGTTAGTGAGTAGTAGGGACAGGTTTTGAGCCGTCACATGCTGTTCATCTCTTTTTGCTTCATGCAGATGCTAAGAACTTTTCAGGCATGAAAACCAACACACACACACACACACACACACACACATACAATCAATCAATCCTTTTATAGTGTCTTCTTTTCCCACATTCCTACTGTTCCCCACTGAATGACATAGAGGCTTTGGGAGACCATGGCCAAAGAGGTGGGGTAAGGGTAAGGATTGGTGACATCCAATCTGGCTAGTTTACTGCTTCCTTCTCAACCATTGCCCTTAACCAAGGTGGATTCTGTGCTCTGCCCAGGGAAGAAATCAAAGCCCCCGCTTTCAAGACCCCATCCCCATCTGTGTGGGGATTTGAACTGCCCTTGCAGTCAGCACTGTCTGGGGCACTAAATGCCTTAACAACTTAATGGGGCTTTGGAGACAGCACAGGCACCTCAGCTCACCTCTGGGAGCTCCGCCCCCTCCCTGGGCAGCAGACAAGGGGAGGAGGTTTATGAGGGCAGTCG